ACTAAAACGTTAGGGATTCTATTTTTTCCCCCTTTAAACTGTGGTTCAGTTTTATAAAAAGAAGTACCTGAACTCATCTTATTTAAGGCTCCGTTGCGTTCCGGCTAAAATTGTAATTTATCTTAAAAATTGAAAAGCACCGGAGCCAGGCTTCGGTGGGCTCCGGCGCAATTTAAGCACTGATTCTAAGTGAATATCGCATATCATCAAGCCGGTTTACGGATCCGCGGGGTCATTACCACTGTTTAGTTCGACGCAACTTTCTTTGCTATTAAGGTGTCATAAATAAAAAACCGTATTGTTTTTCCAATTGAGTATTCTCTCCTTTTTAAACGCACTCTCTCCTCTCTAAACTTCATTGTCGGCAAAAGAAAACAGTATTTCTTAAAAGAAAACAACACACACCCCGATAGTACAGAAGTTATTGCTGTCCGTACTATAGCGAAGAAACTGATTGCAAGGAAACTTGTTTATGACGACATTCTCATCCATCTTTCTCAATAAAAAGAAAAAATCAGACACTAGTAGAGTGCACAGAGCTCTTTTTACTCTGCCAGCGCTGATTGCGAAATAAACAATTATCGTCTTCTCTCGCTGCCCTCATAAGTGATTAACACACCCAGTTAACAACCAGAAGGTCCACCTTTGGAATACAAGCGATGTTTCTTTCCTTTTCTGCTCCCAACACTTTAAAAAATCTGTAGCTAGGCTCGAGAACTAATATGTGATTGACGGTAAGTCACTACCATGTATGATTTACAGGGTCGCGTGTCTCTTCCTAATCCTCTTAGGTAAGACAGAATGTAAGAAAATTGAATGAATGTAAGGTATTACCTCGTCTTGTGTTGTAACCAGTTAGATCTGTGGTTCGAATCTCAACGGTACAACTGAATTTTCATGTTTCCTCTTTCGAGAAACTAAATAATATCTACATAGCTTTCGCATTTTTAAACGCCTCGAAGGGAATATCTTTGATATGCTAGAGCTTTTACCTCGCTGGATCTGTGTTTCGACAAAAGAAAAAGTACTACTGCCCTTTGGGAGAAATATTTGGTGCACCTAAGCAAGCAAGTCTGGCTAAATGAATTTTTGGGCTTTATTAACAAAAAGGGTAAAGAGAACTTACGTACGTCTTATTGTTTACATGACAACTTTTAGAATGACAGAAATAACAGTGATGCCAGATGCATAAAACATAATAATACAACAAAACAATGATGCCACTAAAACTGTACATAACATCAATTAAATGCTCGATCCTCAACAGTAAGTAAATAAATAAATGTTCAAATCGTTCTAATTTCTAACGGAATAATACCGTTTCAAACATTTTACCCACTTATTTGGTTTACTGTTTCGAATAGCTCGATTTATGTTCTTGGTCTCTAATTTCTAAGAGACTTATTCTCAAACTAATAGGGTTATCATAATTACTTGGATTAAAACTGTTTTAGATATTAGATTGAATTCTTCCTATTTCAATGATCAGACTGCAAGTTTCTTTTAATCAATCTTAGGATAGTTATAGTTTTACTTCTTTGTACAAAGTAAAGGAAGTATTGTAATCGCGAAAAATTCCGGGTACCATATTTCAAAGAAAATATCCATTTTGATCATCATCGAATGCAATTTAATGATGTTTTTGCGTGACATTTGTACGCAATTTGTACGCAGTTTGGGGGGAAAAATGAGAATAAAGTACATTTTCCCCCCAAACTAATTATAAAACTGATCTAAAAAGGATTCAGAACAGATTTTTCCTTGGCGTCCGTAAGTACGTATGTATTTATATATGTATCTTGCATAACTCAAAACCGAGTAGTCTCAGAACGTTGAAATGTTGTATATAGGACTGCTATAACATGCAGTTATGCACCTCCCTTTTTGGGTGAACTCGGCTGCACCAAAAGTATATACATATATACACCTACTCTGTTACTTAGCTCATTGTCTTTATTCTTATATGTTTGTAAATTGGGAATTTTTTTGCTTTAAAAATGATTCAATTATGTTTTTCTTATCTTCCGGTTAAGGTTTTTTGTATCTTTAGTTAATCTTCATGCGATAGTAGTAGAATTATCAACAATTTAAAACTTGGTTAAGTGCGGCTAAACCTAATTTTTTCTTACCATAGCAGACATACGTGTTTACACTTGAAACTTTTAGTTTTGTGCATCAAAAATTCTGCCTTTTTGTCTGCTTGCCGAATTGCTTGTTTTTGCCCAGAAACTCTAATTTTAATTGTAAATTTTTTATTAAGTTGTTTTAACTGTATTTGGTGTTTTATGTTTTTCTATATCTTTCAATTTTTAATGGATATGATTTGAGTTTTTATGCATTGTTGCCACGCCGCGAAGCAAGAACTGAATTAATTGAATAAGAAATATATCTCTAATGAAATTCGAGGAAATAAATGTTTCGTATTAGCAGCAAATATTGTAGCCAGTCTGTCTTAGACAGAAGAGAATGTCTACGAGTAGCGCATGCGCATTAGGTAAGCGGCGCTGAATCGTCTGTGAAAAACTGTTTTATTATTTATTTGTAATTTCTTTTATACACCGTTTTAGATTTATTATAGTATTTCAATATGACATGTGGCAACGAATTGATAATTCTTCAGATGATATAAATTTTTTTCATTCTGAGTTATAAAATGAATGAGATTTAACGCTGGTAAGTAAACCTAGTGTCGCTATGGAAAATAAATATAGTGAAATTTAATGAGTGCAATTATTCTATGCATTGTGGATTTATTATATGCATCATTTAATGAGTGCATTGTGGTTTATGCGCTATCAACGAAGTAGATTTAATTCAATAAGTTTAGATGAAATGCAAGAAAAATGCGTATAATTTAATATTTCCGTAAAAGGAAGTCATGTGGTGTACACATTAGTTTTTGTAAATATATTTTGGAGTTTTTTGAAACATGAATGGTAAATTATTCGAGAAGTTAGATTTAGAGTGAAAATTTCAAATTATAAGTTTTTTACTTGTTTCAATTGTAGAGACATTAGGATTTTTGGAAGCAGGCAAGATGAAAAATGAGCAATCGCCTTCGCCGGGAATTGAACTACGGATCTCTGAAATACCGGCTCAGTGTGCTGACCACTACACCACAAAGGCACGCTAGGAAGGCGGAAGAAATATCGTATACAATATTTTGCTTGAAAATAATTTTCTTTAAATCAGGAGTGCTTTAAGAAGAACACGAAAACACGGTGACTAATAAATCTTACAACTGTTACACGAAATTGAAGCCTATAGGACATGCTAAATGTGCTGTTTGTCTACATTATGATAAACCAGTACTACATTTCAGCATCATTTTAAATTCTTATGCGCCAATAATGCTTTTGCACGAACTAGGTATTGTTTTTATAACTTGTAGAGTCTCACTCTTTTTGGGAACATACAGTAAGTCAAGACTCTAAATAGAACTAAGCGACTTGTCGCTACGTCTAGTTAAGCAAACCGATCGTAAGAAACCCTTCTTACATTTTTGTACCCTCAAAGGACTCTTTTATTAAGAGCGCAAACAGTTGAGCAGAAAGCGCTCCTGGTGCTTACAAAACCAGCTAGCATTTATGGCGTAAGCTCAAAGTAAGAAATTCAAAGTTGAATTAAATCCAAGTCTTCAGTTAGCCAAAAGCTGCGCAGAAATATTTAACAGGTAAATTAGTTCAAACCGACAGCGGCGTGACAGCATTGTTTGGAAGATTAAAGCAAGGTAATAAGTAATGCTATCATAATAAGGCAGTAATGCTATCATAATAAGGCAGTAATGCTATCATAGAATGTCAACTAGTAACGTGCCCTTCAGCAGGCGAAGCCCGCTCTGACTAAAGCAATCTGAAATCCTCATTTAAATACAGGAGAACTAAAATTTGCGTTCTGGCAAGAAAACGGAAAGTGAGAAGTGACAGTAAAGTTCCTGAACATAAAATAATTGATTAAATAAATACCTTACAAATCAAACCTCGTTCTAATGTTGGAAGAATTAGATAATATTTAAAAACTATTTTTTTTGTTTCCCCCCTTTTTCGACACTTTTATATTTATAAAAAAATAGTGTTATGCAGTACAGCAGGAGAACCGCTTACGTTATTCATAGAATAACCAAATGTCAATACCAGTAGGGCCTGATTTTATTTAAAGTGCAGTAAAACAAAAAGATAAATTATTTAGGCTTGTTTTATAAAGCATAGTATAATTATTAGAAATTCAGTTCAGTTTCCTTTAATACAAGGTAACTAAAAACGTTCTTGCCGTTTTGGACAGTCAGAAAGAAAAAGTCATAAAACAAATAATAATCACAGCTAATCCTCAAAGTAATCCCCATCGGCATCCAGTGCCTTTTGCTAACGAATGGCTAGTTGTGCGATACCATCGCGGTAAAACTCAAGAGTCTTCGACGCAAAGAAGTCCGTGAGGGCTTTTTCGAGATCTGGGCAGTTGTTGAAGGATGGGTTCAGCCTTCCAATGTCATGTCAGAAATGGCAAGAACGTTTTTCGTTATTTTGTGTTTCGTACAGATTTTAGTTTTTTATTACGATGCAAGACAACGTTCTTCGAAAGAAAAAAAAAAAAAAAAAGATAATACACATAAATTTGAAAATTAAGAATGATGGGAAACTATAAAATTTTAACTAGTCTTACAAATACATGAAAAAACACTTCTAATTCATTTGAGGTCTCGGATGTAAAATTTAGTTGCTTTTGATAAAAATGTGAAACCAATAGTAATGTGTAACCTACTAATTATATTGAATATTATATTAATGCATTGCGTATTAACACCAACAATCGTTTCAATAACATCATTCCAATAACTTAAATGCTTAAAAATTTGAACTTTGAAGTACTGAAAACATTACACATTTGCACAATACTGTTTTTTTTTTTTTTTTCAAATGCTTTTGTGAAGTCTTCCTAAGCTAAATAAAAGGAAAGATTTAATAAATTGTATGAACTTTTATAATAGAAAGATACAATAGAGATTCTCTTAATAAAACAATTTTATTCTTCAAGTAAAAATTTATTGAAGTTCTGAAGCTTATTCTTCCTTTTCTTCTCTTTCATCGGTAATATTGTAAGAAGCATATAATTTTCTTAGGCAATCCTGTTAGAAAAAATAAATTTTGTCAATACTTTTGATTAATTTGCAGGATTACTTCCAAATTTAATAATTGAACTTGGCAAATTTTTAAGAGCAATACAATTTTTGACGCATTTTTAAATTTCCAGATGTTTATTGAATATTGGATTAAACAAAATACATGATTAGTTTATTTTCCACTATTTTTATTGCCCTTCTTCTTGAGAAATAAAAATGGTTTACATCATTTGTGTGTTAAGTGTTTATATGTGTGGTCCTATCTATTTTAAGGACTACAGGAATGAATAGGAGAGGTAACGTCATCAGGCCAATAAACTGCTGTGCATGAAGTAAGCTTGTAAAGAACCGTCAGATTTCTTTAAGTGCGTTTTGGGGTGTAAGTGATAGCACGCATACCCTTCCTGAAAAAAGGGTCTATATTAGCATATTCAATTAAAAATTAGCAGATTTCTAGAGAAGTAGTTGATTTGTCTTGATTCTTACTCCAAAATTTCTAGTAGTCCTCCCGAAAGCACAAGAGTTAAAGTGTGGTGGATTTCTCAACTCCAGGATACCAAGATTTGAGGGGCCCACCAGCGGCCGAGCGGTAAAATCGCTGAACACTGGTAGTTCGGTCCGATGTTCGAATCCCGCGAACGGGTTGGCTGCATGGGTGTTTTCGTGGTTTTCCCCATGTGTAACGTGTATACGAGCCAGTTTCCGTTAAAAAGTCCTCCACGAAGGCATTTCTCCCCTTAGGCAGATAGCCCTCGGGGTTTTGCCGTAATTAAATAACCTAACCTAACCTAACCTAACCAAGATTTGAGCGATTCATTAAATTAGATATCGGGAAGGAGAATTTCCACTTTACGATTTATCTACGCTATCTATCGATAAAAAGATAATTGTTATTGGTGATATTGAATGCTCATTTCATGCGCTGGGGATATAGCAATATGAATGCTGCTGGACTGGAAGTTGAGGATCTTTTTGAGCTTATTTTTTACTCTTCTGACTCACCGACTAATACCAACGACAATGGAAATGGTAGCACACTGGATTTACTGTACGTTTCTTCTGATTTATTTACTTGTACAAAACGAAATGTTGTTGAGGACCCAGGCTCTGAGCATAGATAAATTATTTCCTCATTTGTTTTCCCGGGACATAAGACTACTTCTGCCCATTTGCTATGTAAATCACGCAATTTTAAAAAAGCTGATTGGGAAGGTTTTCGGAGATTAAAGAAAAATTGCATATGAAAAATTTTAATTTTTCCGCTTTACATCCTAGCTAGATTGTATTACATATAAATAAGGCTGTCACAACATGTGCGAAACTCTTTATCCCAAGTGCAAGAGTCAGGCATTATGATTTTTTTTTTTTTTTTTTTTTTTTTTTTTTTTCAGGGAAATTGGATAAAATTAGAGCTAAACGGGATTGCTTAGGAAGAAAAGCTGATTTATCTAAAAGGCCAAGGGATGTAATACTCTGGAGAGAACAGATGTTAGTGTTTAGGAAGGCTGTCTTGGGGTCTAAACTGAAATATTTTGTCAAATTTATATCTAACATCAATATGAGGATAAGAGAAAGAAAACATATAAATTCTTGCCAACTTTGCAAAATAAGAGACAGGCTGTTACGAAAGAATGAATCTCATTTAATAGTACAAGGACAAGTTTAATAGGACAACTTTCCATCAGCTTTCTCTAAGATACAGGAAAAACGGCTTTTCGATGAGAAAATGTCAAAAAAAAAAATTAAGACAGAGAAGATAAGCAAAAGCTAAACAGCTTATTGAATACTCCTGCTATTTTTAAAGCTGTATCTTGGAAGGGTACTTTTACTGTTGTGTGGTATAAATTTATTATCCTAAATTACTCTGTATGCACATCAGAAATAATTAAACTTTATCCCTTATATTTTGAGAAATTCGAAAAACCTTTCTTCTCTTAATTTGCTTAATTTTATTCTCTTAACTTCGAATATAAGTATATTTGGCAGAAAGAATAGGCAACTTGTTATGTATTGTAGATGGTGAAAACAAAAATTCTTTCCTCTCAATACTATTATATATATGTCTGAAGAAAAAGACAGAGGGTTGCTTCAAAAAAGTATAAATTGGTATTTTACCTTAGAAGCCATTTCAGAATTTTCATCCTGTAAATAAAGAAATTCAATGTAAAGATGGCTTAAACACTTCAAGATTATAGAGTAAAAATAAAAGAGATTTATAGAAACTTATAAAAATAGATTTTATTCCTACATAATTCTATATGATTAGAGAAAAATGTTCTTTAATTTATCAGTTGCTGGTATTTAGTTTTTTAAAAAAAGAGTGAGATATAAAAATATAATCTCTTCTTTTCCATTTTTACTCATACATCATTCTTCATAATAAAGGATAAATGAATATTAGATTCAGAATGAAACTGAATTTTTTTTATAATTCTTTTAGAAGGTATGAAATCTTCCGAATATGGAACTAAGTTTTTGTTCTTTATTTTATTCATAGAATTCTGAATATAGGGTACATTAAGAAAATAATTCAATATTTAAGATGTAGATAATTTGATTAAAACTATAATAAATGTTTAAAAAAATAATAGTGTCATTATAGCAAAATTAAATAACATTAATATTTCTTATTAAATTCCGTAAATATAATCCTCCTCAAAATATTCTCTCTCGTTTTGAACACGCTTATCTAAGCCTTTTTTCAATCTCCTGTAACAAAATTTGGAAATTCTTGCTCGTAAATTTCTTTCGTTGCGCTTTCGTGTTTGCTTCGGTTTTTGAATTGGATTACCTTTAGTGATAATTTTAACTTTAGGAAAGAGCTTAAGTCGTATGCTGACAGGTATGGCGAATAAGGTGAATTCCTCGTAACGCTTTTAGTCAGAAGGAAGTGCCGTAGCAGAAGCGGTGTGAAACGCGGGTTATGGAGGATGAAGCTGTTTGCTTACATTTTTCAAGCAGTTCTTCACATAAAATATATATTAAACGACTTAATGTACCTTTATTCAATTTAATATAGTGTTTTTGTAGAAATTCAGCTGACACAAATACAAAAGAGGTAGTCGTATTTCGATATTTCTGGTGTTCAAAATAGTACATATCCCTAATTCATAAAATATAAGAGAACACCTACATTACATAAAATCTTATCATCAAAAAAAATTAATTCGATAGCATATATGCCTATTTCTAGATGAATATTTAAAATAATTTAGTACCTATCGTCTAATTTAAAATTATTCAAACTCAAAACGACTTTTTCTTTTCAGATCTGCACTTAACTCTTGAATTTTACACTTTGCAAATCGTTGCGTGCTAATGATACATAATTTCACACAGACAACGTAATTTTAGTCAGTTTATTTATTTCTAAGGTAATCATTTCACGTCATTTCTTCGAACAAAAGAATTACAAATAACTGTGTAATGATGCGTAATTGATTCGAAGCGTTGAAATTTTTTTTGATTGTTTAAACTACATGGGTTTCGGATAATTTCTGCCACATGTTGCGTTTTGTTTTTAAATTGATAAATGTTAAAAATACAGTAATATTTTGTTTTATACTGAGTTTCCGAATTTCGCAATGTGTTGCGAAATTTATTCTTAGTTTTTAGTATTTTTTTCCCTTTCTAAATCAGTAGAAAGTTCCGCTCTTTAAATGTATTTATTTAAATACTATTCAGTCAGTTAAAGTCTCAGTCTTTTGCTGCATGTAACGTTTATATACACTGCTGGCCATTAAAACTGCAACGCTATGAAGGAATTTATTGTACGTAAAAGAGTATGGCATGGAGACAAAATGATTGAATTTGTAAGTAGTTTGGGGGTTTGCAGGGGTGCGAAATTAGTAGAAATAGCTGCCACCCCTGGCAGGAAAAAGGCCATTACCCGGTTAGGCATAGAGTCGAGCTGGACTTGGATGACAAAAAGCGGCAGCTCATTCCATGCTGCTTCAAATCTATGCCACACTTCATCAACCGTATTAATTGGAGAGGGGTGTTGGGCCACTCTCTTAGCAAACTATGACCAGATGTTTCCAATGGGTGACAGATCTGGAGAACATGTAGAACAGGGCAGCAATCGAATACTCTGTGTATCGAGGAAGGTCAGAACACGACGTGCAACATGTGGTCTTGTATTATCTTGTTGGAAGATGGCGTTTGGCAGTCTTCGAAGATAGGGCACAACCACTGAACGTCAGATGCCATAAATGTACCGATCTGCATTCAAATTACCATCGATCTGAACTAGAGATGTTCGTGTCGTCTACCCAGTGGCTGCCCAAATCATCACAATAGATGCAGGGTCCCTATGCGGATATCGAATACAAGCAGGCGACGGGCGGTCTCATCGGAGCCTCCAAACATGTATACGGCTATCAGAATACTGCACGCAGAACTGGGAATCGTCTGAAAAGACGCTATTATGCCACTCTTGTATCCAGCTTTGTCGTTCTGCGCACCAGATTCGCCGTCTCTCTCTATGTTGTATTTTCAAGGGGAAGCTGAAGCAATGGTCGTCGTGCTGATAATCCACGCTGCTGCAAATATCGACGTACCGTACGAGCTGACACCGGGCGTGCTGCAAGCATGCCCATTTCCTGACTAATACTCCGTGATGTGGTTGTACGGTTTTGCAGGGCTGACCTCACAATATGTCTGTCCTCTCTGGTGTCAGTCATGGGAGGGCGTTGAGATCCTGCATGCCGTTCAGTATGACCCTCAGCAATCCATTGATTCCATATTCGCACGCCAGTGGCTGGATGTCGACCACTGGGACGGGCAATATCACGGAACGATAATCCGCACTCTCGATAGGCAACGATTCTGCCTCTATCGGATTACGACAAGGATGTCAAACTCGCGGCTCGCGGGCCACATGCGCCCACAACAAATATTTTTGCGGCCCGGCCGATATATCGGCAAATAATAATATATAATAATAAAATAAATATCGACGAAGAAAAAAATGAAATGTTTTACTGCTAAGTAATTAATGATAATTTATTCAGTGTTGTTAGATTACTCACAGCGACACACACACACTATTTAAATTACAAATGCGTGTGAGTAGCTTGCGTTCATCTACCTTCGGCTTTTGGGGGACGCGTGCACTCAGAACTTGTACGCATCCCCCGATAGCCGAATGTGGCCGAACTCATGGTCTCAGTTTTCCAATCATAGTTTTGTACGATATATTGGTGCATGCATGTGCATGCACTTTGCTTTATTATTAATTATTACTTAATTCATATTGTTACGGATTTCATAGTTATTTATTTATTTAGTTTTTTTATTTAGAATTGTAATTAGATTTGCTTCATGTTGCCTTAGCAACGCAGATGATTTTTGAAAAGACAGCTGCGTTGGAAGGTTAAAAATAGAACAGCGCGTGCATTTAATACCTAATAAATAAATATCTCGTAATTGCTGCTGCCATCCACAAAAATCCAGATATTTATAGATGTTTCCAGTATATTCGAGAAATTAATTATAAAGCTTATAAAAGCCGAGAACAAACAACTCATCTCAGTAGTAGCTGTAGTTCTAGCGAACTGTTTATTTACTTAATGCTGTGATTGATTTGTAGCGATTTCGCTGTGAGATAGAATTAGTTTCTCTGTTTTGAATTGATTTTTGCTAAACGTTTGACATTTTGTGATATTGTTAGAATATTTTTGAAGAAATATTTCAGCATTTTGATTTATCTCTTGTGGAAAGAATAAAGTTTTGTTAACTTTTTAACGTAAACCGTGTTTATTCCAGCCCTTTGTATTCAGTATGTCTATGTCAAAACCATGTGGTAGTAAAATTAAACGAAAAATCGCTGATGAACATAGAATATTCCAAGTAAAATGGGAATTAGAATATTTTTGCTGTGAAATAAAAGATAAAATAATCTGCTTGATATGTAATAATACTATTAATGTATCAAAGTTATATAATATTAAACGTCATTACGAACAACACAAATCGAAATATAACAATTACGAAGGATTAATGAGAGAAGAAAAGTTGAACGAGCTCAAGTTAGGAGTGAAAAAGCAACAGTCTATGTTTAGTAAAGTACTGCAAGAAAGTGAAGCGGCGGTACATGCAAGCTACGTCTTGTCCGAGTTGATAGCTAAACATTCGAAGCCTTTTACTGACGGTGATTTCATCAAGGAATGTCTAATGAAAGCTGGAGAAATTGTTTGTCCTGGAAATGTGAAGGCTTTTCAATCAATTTCATTGTCTCGAAATACAGTTGCGGAAAGAGTTACTGATTTAGCCGCGAATTTAAGTGATCAGATCAAAGCAAAATCATCTAGTTTCGAAAGTTTCTCCATTGCCTGTGACGAGACCACGGACATTAGTGGCAAAGCTCAATTAGCAGTATTTCTTCGTTCTTGTGACAAGAATTTTAACATTTTTGAGGAATTACTGGAACTAATACCGTTGCCTGGTACTACCACAGGAGAAGATATATTTACTTATGTTTTTGGACTTCTGCAGAAATACAATCTACCTTTGGCAAAATTAAATTCTGTAGCTACAGATGGCGCTCCATCAATGACCGGGAAAAACAAGGGCTTCGTAGCATTACTAAGAAAAAAACTTAGTGAAATTCACGGTTCAAACATTCATCATATGCATTGTATTATACATCAAGAAGTTTCTATGCACGAAAGTAATAAATATGGAGAATGTTTTGTTATATATAAAAAAAGTTATAAATTTTATAAGATCTCGAGGTTTAAATCAGCGTTAATTCACTGCTTTCTTAAGTGAGTTAGATAGTGAATATTCGGGTTTGTCCTACTATAACGAGGTACGCTGGTTATCTTGCTCCAAGATTCTCAAACAATTCTGGGATTTGAAAGAAGAAATATGTCAGTTTTTAAAAACGAAAAATCAAGATGTAAGTTTGTTTTACGATCCAATATGGATACAAGATTTATCTTTCTTGGTTGATATAACCAAACACTTAACCGATTTAAATTTATCGTTACAAGGAAAAGATCATATCATTACGAACATGTTTGACATAATTAAAGCATTCAAATGTCAACTAGTTCTTTGGGAAAAACAACTTAAAAATGAAGATTTGACGCACTTCCCGACGGGCAGCATGAACAAATCAAGTTTAGATGATACTTGTT